CCCCCCCCGCCCAGCCTGCCTCCCCCTGCCGCGATGAGCGGCTGTCACGATGGGTCCGGGCTGTGAGCCTCAGGTCTGCAGGAACTGCCAGCTCCCCGAGCATTTGTCCTGCTGACAGCTGTATCCTAGCAGCTGACCCGGGGTGGCGAGCGACAGGCAGCACAGAGCAGTGAGCTGGAGGAGTCCTGCTCGGGCCTCTTCTGGTGGCTCCAGGCTGCCCCGTTTCTTTGGTCTTCCTAGGAAGGTTCCGGAAGAGACCTTCGCACCTTTGCTCCTATTTGTTTTTCCGTTTGGCGACTGATGGAGCCTTTTATGCCAGGACAGGAAAGCAGGGCTCTGGGCGGAGGAAGCTGCCAAGGGCAGGTGCTGGTCTGTGAGTGTGCGACTTTCTCCCATGGGGACACGGGGGCCCAGGCCTTCCCCCCTCCTGCTGCTCGGCCTGGGTCCTCCTCATATTGCCTAACAGCTGGTCGTTCCGCGTGGGGATTTGACAGTCAGTGGGTGAGCTGGAAGCCAGCTCTTCACCGTGTCCTTGTGGTGGCACGGTCAGCAGCAGAATGGTCCCCCAAGATGTCCACGTCCGAATCCTGGGAACCTCTGACTGTGTTGGGTTGTGCGCAGTTAACTTTGCTCATCAGCTGCCCTTGCGATGGGGAGATTGTCCCGGATTATCCAGTGGGACCAGGGTCGTTGAAAGTGGAAGAAGGGGGCAGAGTCAGTTTCAGAGCCATGCGACACGGGGAAGACTTGAACGGCCACGGCCGGCTTTGGAGGTGGAGGAAGGGCCACCATCCAAGGGGCGCAGGTGGATTCCAGGGGCTGGAAAAGGCCGGGAAATGGAGCCTCTGTCGGCTCCAGAAGGAGCGCAGCCCTGTCTGCACCTTGATTGAGCCAGAGAGCCCAGGGTCGCACCTGGCCTCCAGAACTGGGAGCTAATGTATCCGTGTTGCTTTAAGCCGCTACGTGTGCCGTGATTTGTTACAAAGGCCGTGGGGAACCAAGCACCTGGGATGGAAGTGCTTTCTGAGGGAAGCAGGAGGGGTGATGGTGTCTTCTCTAAAGGGCGTCATTTCTTAACCTGCATTTTGCTCGTTTCTGGCTTTTTGGTGACTTTGCCTCTGTTTGTGTCCGGGAGCATTTTGCCTCAGGTATCAGTCACCGACTCATGGGGGATGAGTTTTGGGTAATGGATGTCTCCACTTCGCCCTGTAAACACTAGAGGAGAGCCGCACACCAGCACTGAGCTACAGAAGCCTCAGCCGCCCAGGGCCAGGCGGGCAGGGCAGGTGCTCCCAGGAGGTCGGCACAGGTGCTCCCGGGGGGACAGGGCAGGTGCTCCCGGGGGTCGGGGTAGGTGCTCCTGGGGTGTGGGTTGGGTGCTCCCAGGGGTCAAGGCAAGTGCTCCCAGGGGACAGGGCTGGTGCTCCTGGGGGGTGGGATAGATGCTCCCGGGGGTCGGGGTATGTGCTCCCAAGAGGTCAGGGCAGGTGCTCCTGGGCGGGGGCAGAACAGGTGCTCCGGGGGTCAGGACAGGTGCTCCCCGAGGTGGGGGGTGGTTCTGGAACGCGTGTGGTTGCTGGAGGCCTGCCACTGCCCACTGGCCACAACCCGGTGGCAGGGCCAGTTCCAAACAGACTGTGAGATAAACTCCTGCCCCGCCCACTCCCCACTCTCCAGGCACCTCAAAACCCCTCTCCTGCTGGCCGTTTCCCTTACCCTGCAGGCCACGCGCCGCGGCGTGGGGGTGCCCAGCAGGGACCTTCTGCGGACAGAGCTCCGTGTTATGAGCATGTGTGTGGTTTGAGGGGAGGCCAAGTTGTTCTCTCCTTTCGAATTACACAATAGCCTATTTTGCACAAATCTGGCCCGACCTGGTCGGGCTCAGGGCAGCACAGAGCTCCGCTTGTAATCCCGCCTCAGTCAGATAGCTGAAAACCAGCAGTGGCGTTTTTTACTTTATACCTTTGTAAAGCATTACTCGTATGTGTGTGTGTGTGTGTGTGTGTGTGCGCGCGCGCCCGCCTGCCCAAGCTGATGCTCATTCTGGCTTTTGGCCTTACTCCCTCCCTGTCTGTGTTCCTTGTGCCAGCTGCCAGGTTGGCATTGCTATCTTTTCCATCAACAAGAGCAAAGCATTTGGGACTTTATTGAAGGTGGCATTCTGGAAGGCACATCAGTCACAAAAGGGGTTTTGCAGAGAGGCCTTGGACCCAGGAACTTGTCATCTAAGATCGATAAGACGGATGCGAGCATAACCACTTTAAAGGAAAATTGTTAAGTGAACGCACTCTCGGGGAGTGACGTATCAGTCCAGGACCTTCCCTGAACGGCTTCTCCAGCCACCTTCGTCACCCGGGATTTGGGGACAGGCTCTGTGATGCTGGTCCACGGTGCTTGGAGCGTGTCGGCCGTTACTGTGATTCCCATCCCCTCGGAGTCCTTGCCACAGAAGAGTCAGGTGGCTGTTCCTGTAGAGGTTCCTCTCCGCTCCCTTTCGAGTGTTACCTGATTTTGTGTGGCTTAGGGTCTCTGCTTGTGTCATTTCCAGATTGTGCCCCTGCCCCCAACTCTGTATAGCCAGAACGAGCAGTCTGGCCCGGACCCACGGAAGGTGACCTGGGCGTTCTCCCTGCTCAGAATTCTGTTCCCCGGGAAGCCTTTCTGGAGCACAGCTTTCTGGTCTACCAGGAGGGGCCGTTATCTTTGCTCCTCCCATCCCCATGGGACACCGGGTCCCTAAGGCCATGGGCAGAGCTGCTCTGCAGGTCGTGAGCAAGAAGCATTCAAAGTCAGGCATCTTTTGGATTCAAGGACACTAGGAGGATGCCCGTCGGGCTGTGGCACATCCCTTGCCAGGCCCCGACGTCACTGCTGACAGCGGCCCTCAGCGTGGGCACCCGAGCCCCTTCGTCACCTGCTGT